CGGAGAACAAAAGTTTGGAATTGCTATAAAATCAGTGTTGTGCAAAATCATATTTCTTAGTTTTGGTTGGACCCAAATTTTTATTGCCGTCAATATCCCCGTTGGGAAGAATAAAAAAAAGTGTGAGGAAGTGTAAAATTTTACAGTTGTTCCCAGAGCACGAGGTAAGGAGAAATATTCCACTGGGGGCACTTGTTCCAGGGACAGATTTCGAAGAGGGGAATTTCCTTCACTTTGGGTTCTCTCTCCCTCAGTGAAAAATAAACTGACAAGGGTTTTAACCCTTTCCTACTTTATCCAAACCTAAAAAAAAAATATAACACTGCAATAGGCCATAGGCATGCCTAGCTTATTCAACAACTCACTTGTTAGTTAGCTGCTAATATAGGTACTGCATGTTTTTGTGTAATGGAATCTTTTCAAACATTCAATAAGCTCTCCTTAAAGAAATTGCAAGTGTAAATTGGAATGTAAGTTTTATAAACACTGACAGAATGAAATAGAATAAAAAACCTTTTCTGTGCATAATACAACTTTTGGTTTTGTCTTTCTATGCTACAGGGGAGTACAGAAAGAGTACCAGTCCAATAATGTGCAAGGTACTAAAGTCACCTGCTGGTTTGTACACAATAATGGAAAAGGTTTCATCGATGGACACTATAGAGACTACATGGTACCTCAGCTATATAGCTTCTTGAAACGCCCCTGAGAAGCCCCACATATATGCATAATAGCATGGAATACACTGTCTACAGTTACAATAAAAGATGAACATGGTATTATTTTCCATTCCAAAGTCCTATTTTTAGTATTAGCAGTAAAGATTGATATTAATGGTTGGAAATCCAATAGAACCACACACAGCGTTTAGTGTTAACTGTTACTAAAGCGTAGTGTTAAATGATAAAACAAATACCATTTTTATGTGCCAACTTCCAATTAATGTGAATAAGCAGGTCTTGATTACAGCCTGAAAGAAATCAAGGTGTATTGTGCTTTCATAGAGGAAAGGATGTATCCATTCTTGCTTTATTTATATGAACATGATGTAAAAAGTGGTTGTTATAATTCATGTACTGCTTAAATAAAGTGCCTGTGTGCTGCCCTTTATTGCTTTGAGTTTTTTTAGTAGAAGCCATTTTCTTCACTTGACATTTTAAACCCAACAGCCAAGAGGAGTGGCCTGAGGAAAAAAGGATGGCATTCAGCACCTTCATGTCCATATTACTGCAGTGTGAATATTGTAGGCTCCGCGGCACCCACAACACACACCTAGGGTAGATAGTAACTATCCTGCACAGTTGATTACCTGTGTAGTAATACTATGTAAGAAAAACTCTATTGGGGATACAAGCCTGGAGATACCAGCTGCATCCTTGGTGGGCCGAGAAAATTGAACATCCAACAGGCAGCTGAAAAAGCCAAATCACAAATCAGTACAAAGGAAAATAACGCTACCATATGTGCCTCGGAAATATAACATGCACCTGTCTTGTGAGACTAAGCTGAATGAAAAATTCCTTTTAGGAATTAATGGTGTACAGATTGGATTGCATTTACAGATACAGGTGACAGTAATGACTGTCAATGGAAACTATAAATCATAACAGTGAAGTAGCTCTCTTCAGTAGGGAGGATATAGAAACATACACAATAAAAAGCCAGTAGACAACAGTAAATATGTTGATGGTTTTGGAGAAAGGAAAAATGTATACGAATTCTTTGGCATAAAGAAGTATTTTATTACAGGAAATTCCTTTTAAAAATACCTTCCATAACACATAGTAAGAAATAGACGTCAATATTAAATGTGGGAACAGCAGGAAGATGTAAACTGAAGCTAGCAGCTGATCATCCAAACTGAATTATCAACATATATACAGTCCATAAAACCCTGACATTGTAGAATTTTGTATCTTTCCAGCAGATATTTGTACACGGTAATCACGCCACCTTAGAGAAATGCTCGTATGGCAGCCCCTCCACCTTACGACCTTTCAAAGGACCCTGCGAAATACATATTCAGGAAATGTTAAATGCAAACAGAATTTGGCATCTAAAATAAACGCATACATACACAGTATACTTACTGAGTCAATTACTATTGTGGCAGAAAAGCTCTTCTCCTTTACAGACTCTAACAAGCCATAATGTCCCTTGTAGCCACCATTTAAAACCAATACTTTTTTTCCTGAAAAAAAAAAGATGAAACAACTTAAGGGCCTGCTTTTTCTCCTTTACAAAACTCAACAGGTATGCAAAACCTTGAGCTGGAAGCATGTTGTCACAGCTTAAAAAATAAATTGCACCTGTTAAACTTGCACCTGTTGAGCGATCTCAAAAGCATCTTGCACTCCAATGCAAGCTAAATTAATTTTAAAGCAAGTTTGATTTGTCTATCGACACAAGTCCTTAAAATATAAAAAACTACCCTGCTGCCGCTCAATGAGCACAGCTACCAAACATCTTCAACCACTGGGTTGATGGAAGATTATATCTTAATAGGTAAGCCTGTATGTTTATAATGTGTCACCAGTTTAGGACCTAGGACATGTCCAACACAGCCTAAAGCCCTTCCCTGCTGAGACCCCACTGATGCCTGTAGTTGCTGGGACCTGCTGTCACTTTGACAGCCGAGGCCCTTCTCAGTGTATCACAGCTAAGATCAAGAGATATTTCAGCCACGAACCGCAGAAACAGTTGTTACTGGTGAGTTGTAACTGTAAACAACCACTGATACAAAAGGAGGCTAATTCACAAAAGGAGGCTAATTTACAAAAGCAGTAGAAAATGTTCACACAACTCGGTGTGAAGATTTACTTAAACTATCACCTAATTATCCTTCAACTGACACTAAACTCAGGAGTCAGATCTTAAAAATGTAATGTAATGTAACAAAAATGTATATTTTTTGTGCATCACTCCGCTATAGATCCTCAAATCATCTCTGAATACATGCTGATACTGTCCTTGCTTCTGGAGGGTGGCTTCTTTTGTTCCCCATGGTCCCTGTGTATTGTAAAGCAGTCACCACTCCATGCTTATCCCTGTGGTAAGACTACAATCTCAATACAAATTAATAAACTAAACATGTGATTGTAGTCCATCAAGGGGGAGCAAGCTTGGAGCTGTGGAAGTACAGTAATACCTTGGTTTACGAGCATAATTCGTTCCGGAAGCATGCTTGTAATCCAAAGCGCTTGTATATCAAAGCAAATTTCCCCATAGGAAATAATGGAAATTCAGATGATTCGTTCCACATCCCAAAAATATTCATATAAAATGATTACAATACTTTACTGTAATATAATAACATATAAAATATAAAGAAAAATAAACCAATTACAGGTACCTTTTGTGGCCGGTGTGAGGGGGACAAGAGAGAGGAGGATTATTGTGTAGGATGACTTTTACTGTCACTAATGGAATCACTGCTATCTCTTGGCTCAATGTAATCTTTTTCATTTTGTGAAACCTTAACAAGGAATCTATCCAATGTGACATTGCATTGTCGTTAAACAGATTCAGCGCTCGCACTGCTACAGCCTTGTTCGGGTGGTGCTTTTCTACAAAAGTTTGCTCTTTTTGCAAGACATTTGCTTGTATATCAAAGCAAAATTTTTCAGAAATGTTTGCTTGTCTTGCAAAACGCTCTCAAACCAAGTTACTTGTAAACCAAGGTATTACTGTACAGTCTAAGCACCAATTCACAGATGATTTGAGGATATACAGCCGAGTGATACACAAAGATGATACATTTTTGTTAATAGTTAGGTTAATTGAATGCATTCGGGGTATATTTATAAAGCAGTGAATCTTTCTGGTGAATGAATTTTAAATTACAATTGATTTACCTGCAGTAAATGTTTAGTGCTTTAATGTAAAAATAAACTGCAGAACAAAGTGTACTTTTTATAGTAATAGTTATTATTTTCAAATGATCACGTCAAACTGTAAATCTCTAAAGTAGATAGAAAATTAAATACCAACCAGAAAAAGCCATGGTCGCCCTGCCCCCACAAATTATATGCCTAACAAGTAATAAATAATAGATCTTTAGCTGAAAAGTGAAAATGGCTATGGAGCTCAACTGAAGCACCAGCAATTCACCGCTCCAATTCCCCCTCTGACTGTCGGTTGATATGACTGCCAGGTGCAGGCTATGGTGTGCTCCCACTACTTTGATAATTCCTTGTACAATCAGCCGCACAAGAACCCATAAGTGTCCATGAAAGTCCAACTTTCACCACCTAAACTTAGTCATTGAGGCACCTCTATGATTAAGCCCTGGTAGTAAAACGCGTGAGTGGCGTTTGTGGGAGAGATACCACAGTGAGGTGTTTGCTGTACTACGGTTGATTTTTATCTGGAAATATTTACAATAAAGTTGGACTTTTATGGATACCGGTTTTTGTATGGAGCTCAACTGGTTAACACTGACTATTCAGTCGTCATGATTAAAGCAGAACCTCAGTGATATAGTTAACCATGTCCAACATTAAAGCTAAAATAATTACCATTTAAAGACTTTGCAACTACAAAAACAATTGTATACATTTATGGTACTATTTAACCCTTTCGCTGCCAAGGACGTATGGCATACGGACCTACAAAAGTGCTTCCAGCTGGCCAGGTCAGTATGCCATACGGACCTGGCATTTACAGTTCTACTATAAGCTGATGGTCGCTTTAGCGACCATCAGCTTATAGTATAACTGTTCAGCAGACTGTCCCCTTTAAATTAATAGCTGTCATCAGCGGCTCAGAAGCCGCTGATGACCGCTATTATCAAAAATACCGGGCGCCCCCCCC